AGATTATTAATTTGGGTTCCGTCCGTCCTTCTGGATCCATTTATCGGACAGCCTTTGACCGATCTCGTTCAAACTTGGTATACAGACAATCTATGGTGACCTACATATGCCAATTTTCATTACGATTCAATTAAATATGGCTGACTGGCAGCCATTTTGCACCCTCAAATTTTCTAAATTCTGATATTTAAACGTGAACAGGGCGATTTCAATCAAACTTTGTATGGTGATCATGCATATTCATAATTGGGTTATTGGTGCACGTCACTTTTTTTCAAGATTCGGTTCAAAATGGCCGACTCACGGCCATTTCATTTTTTTTCTTCATTTTTGTGCTGATTACTCTGAAAGATATCGCCTGATTCACTTGAAAGTTTTTACATAGGTACTATACTTCAAGACAATACAACACCATGTTTTGTTTAGAGATTTGATCAAATTTGTCGAAATGGCGGCCATTTTGTTTAATATCTTAAATTCAGTCTGTAACGTGTCTGGAACTGTTTCCCGAAGCTGAATAGGGCGATTTCAATCAAACTTTATATGATGATCATGTATATTGGGTTACACGTGCAGGTCATATTTTTTTTCAAAATTTGGACCAAAATGGCAGACTGTTTTGTCTTGAGATTTGATCAAATTTTGTCAAAAAACGTAAAATAGCAGTAAAATATCAAGTCTTTTCTACCTCCGTTGAAGATAATGAAAAAAAAATGTTGAATATGATGAACTCCTAAAAAAAAAATTTGCAAGCAAACCAACTGATAAAAAAAAAAATTTCCAAACACATAAAAAAAAAAAAAATTTGCCTTTCACTGAGCTGACCTCCCCCTCAAAAATCAAATGGTCCAACCCTTTACTTGAAATCGATACCAGGAAGGGGGGGGGGGGTAAAAGATAAAATACATAAGTTTGTCCAACTCCCTGTGATTAGACCAAAATGTTGTCTGGTAGACCCCATTTTAGACCCGCCATTTGTCCAGCAGACGCCATTTTGGTCTTGGCATAATAAAAGTAGACCGAAATTATCTTAATAAATACATATACTTTGTATTAAACCATACAAGAATGCATGCATACCATCAAAACTATAGATAGCTGAATACAGGAAAGTCCCCAGTTGACTAAAACATTTCCTTGAAAGTCATTTCGACATTTGGTGAGTATGGCATAAAAAAAACATTTTAGACCCATGTCCATTTGACAATAAGTCATTGTGGACCCCATTTTAGACCAGAAGGCTGAAAAACACATCCCAGAGGGCGGCACATCCGGGTAAGGTAAATTGCAGGGAGTACCCCCCCCCCCGGGGGGGGGGTAGTAGAGCACATGAACTAGTGTGCAAAACAACCGATAAATAATCTCACCAGTTGGAAGTTTCTAAGACATTCTAAGTCCATTTTGGGGAATAAAGAGCAGTCACGTGCCGTATAAATCGTCGACTCAACCCTGAATTTCTTGTTGAAGGCAGTATTTCACCACATCGTGGCGAAGTCACGGAAGAGACATTTATCACATATCAGCGTTGAGGGCAGCATATATAGTAGACACGTCGGAATTCGAGTCCGCCGAGGAAACCGGAAGCGCAAATAAATCAAAATACAACATTGTGACTACATCAACTTTATTGCTTATCTCAATAAAAATGTGGGTTAATAGTCGAGACCAATTTCTGATTCTAAATCAGCTTATACAAACAAATCGTCAAATATTTCTATGTAGAAAAAAATATTTCTTATGTAAAAATTAAAAAAGCACGATTGATTCATTTATATAAACAAGTGGGACACGATTCCACTCTGTTGAGTTAGAATTCGACCAGCGAATAACTCAATTAGAGATGTCATTGCAAGGACAAATCAAATACTATCTTCATAAATACAAAACGTAGTAAACTGGTAGATCCGGCCCCTTTGACGATCATTGCCTCTACATAAACTATATATATGCCAATATTAATCAAACATTAGATTCCCTTTGCTCGGCATAAAACCTCAGGATTTTTCTTCTCGAGGGTTTCGTGTGGTTGGAAATGTTGTTGTCATCGTCATCGATATCGCTAACCGTATAGAACTGTTCATCTTCTGATTCTGATGATTCAGATTCATATTCATTTTGTCCACCACCTTGGACGTCTTCATCTGTCCGGTTTCCTCCTTTCTTTTTCAGACGCCTCTTGATGCACATTCTTAAATTGTACGTAAATACCCAGATTAACCCATCCACCATAGATGACATAATGGCTAAGATAGAAACACGTGATAGTAAATCGGCTTCCGGTTGAGGGTAGGATAATCTCAATATTGAAGTAGCTAGCATGTTATTCTGAATTCCCGTTTCGGCGCCGATGGTCTTGGCCGGGACGTAACGCAATCGAACTATGCGGGCCGCAAGATAGGCCAAATTGAAACCGAGAAATGGCACAAGAAACGCAGTCAAAATCAACCTGGGTGGCGATGCAAAGACGTAGCGATTTGTCAGTATTTGTAAAATAATTGTGCAAATCATGACAATTACAGACAGTCCCTTCACGAGTTTTATCAGTACGGATTTAACCTTCTCAAACTTCCAGGCCATAAAATATCCGAATGTGATCGGGAGGATAAGCACTAATACTTGTAGAAACATTTCCAAAAACGGTATTTGAATGTTGATTGGTAAGTCTGTGCGGTTCACGAAAGGCCTCGAATAGATATACATATTTAGTGGTGTCAGTCCGATCGCCAGGAGAGTAAACACCAATGTCATGGTGATACTGAGTTCAAGATCAGCGCCGACTACAGATGTCAACATCATACTGAGACGATCACCTGGTACACACCCTACAGTGAGAACACCAACGGCGGTGTACGCGTCTAAATGGAACAGCATGGCTAAACCAAAGCATATCAAGGGCATGACAATGAACTGACATACGGCACCAACGATGACGTGCAAAGGATGACGTAGCTGTCGAATAATAGACTTCAAGTTAGTTTTAGCACCAAATGCGATGTTGTTGAGAATAATTAAAGGCAGTAATATGTAATTGTAGCCTAAGGACAGTGGGTTGTATTTGCGAAGAACTTTCACAGCGTATGGGTTTAACGGCACGCTGACTTCAGTACCAATCCTGTTGGTGGCGTGACTTAACACCACTTTAATTTCAAGGGCGGTGATTCCAATTTGGACAGCTTCCATGTCGATCCTGACGTTATCTTCGACAATCTGTACTAGCGGAAACATTAAAACTGTAGAATTATCAATGAATTTAGCGACTGTTGGATCGCGACTTTCAACAACTAAAAATAGCTCATCATCAAATATCCCGGAGTAGTTGAACCACACGGTAGCATTTTCTCCTGCCGTCATTGTGATCGGTGAGTCGGGGGTTATCTGCCAACGCAATGGCGGTATCGTCGACTTTACAGTGGTATCGTTGCCCTCGAAGTCCACTTGTATCAGCCCATTGTACTGAGTTGTCGTTGATAACACTTTCCTAAACATGGATGCTAGTAGAAATATTACCAACACATTTTCGATACCGGCAAACATGTTTCACAAACAATACGTATGATATATCTAATAATAACGCAGATAAACCAGCAGGATGTCCACTATTGAATTGGTCAAAGTTCGCTTTTTTCCCTAATTGGGGTAAAAGACCCTGTACGCTGGACTTCTCACAGGTATGCGTGCTCCGCCTGGTCGATATTCATTCACCGTTATTAAGACCCTGTAATAGTCAGACAAAGACATATAAATTAAAACTGGTACAAACCCCCAGAGTCACAGTTTGCTAAAACATGTGGCATACCCGCAGCTATCCTATGATAATCGCACTAAGTTTTGTGTGAGTCTTACTAGATTTGGTCATCGCCCTTTATAGTTGTTAAAGTTTCAAATATACACTGATTGCCTACTACCCCCTCCTAATCACAGTGCCCGTATATCTCACACGTAGCGTAATAATAGTCTATGTTCAATACATTACTAACACAACATAAATAGTACACCTGCATAAGATGTCTAACAAGGCACGGAATAATAAAAGTATTGCCCTGGTTATTTAAACAAAATTACTGTATTTCATTGTCCAAGTAACCACTTGTTAATTGTTAACATTTTAGAATATATACGCCACTGACAATAATGGCCTATTGGTATGCAAGCGAGTTTCCAGGTCGCTGAAAAAAACAAAAAAACAGCGGCCTTGGCCTGAAATGCTATGTTACAAACGGGTACTCTATGCGACAGAATCGCCACAGTTCATTAGGCATCTGTTCGTTAAAGTTCGGAAGGTTGTAGTTAGATAAGCTGCATGTGTAGAAAATTAGTTTGTAATATCACAGTTCAGAGGGACTGTGGTAATATGTAACACAGACAATCTCGTTGAACTAGTGGGTGGTCACGTGACTCTGGATGTACAATTGTTTTTCTAAAACATATTAGGACTCCAATATTGTAATTATTCCGTGTACGTGTAGCATACATTACGATTTATCTTATGAAATCGACTATGACGCACGATAACAGACAATCTTTCCATTTATAACATTCATATGTCATAGTCGATGTTGGTAATACAACCACGCCCATACTCTGAGATTGCGATAATCATAACGGTCGTTGATAAGGACCAATAATCTAAAAAGTATTCTTTTTTATATTGATCAGAGTAATATGTTGACCAAGTCTAGAACCGTGATCACCAGGGAGGCACTGTTACGAGTTGAAATATTATGGTATAGGTTTCATATTGCAATCCTAAAACGGCAATGTCACTCTGGCGATGTCGCCGCGACCTCCAATTTAAAAGCAGTATTGTGACGAATAACTAACCCCGCGTGATTTGGTAATTAACAACTTGTAGAAAAATTAACCCACACACCATAATCGACATTCACCATTGTTGAGTTTATTCTAAATTCGAATGACTTAAAACGGTATAGCTATTTTGTTTAATTAATGTTGAATGAATTATCTCCAACGTACCAGTATAAACTTACGCCGTTGATTGTAGCTGTTATAATATAATAATGAATTTATTGCATCCTTAGAAATAATTTCCATTGGTTGAACAGCAATAAAATGTTAGTAATAAAGTACAATACATATAAAACTAAAGTAAAAGTAAAATGTCAGTTATTGTTATTTTTGATTTCAAATATTTTGTATAAGTATTCACCAACTTGTCTTATTAGTACGTCTTCTCTTGAACTCATAATATATTTAAATATCTGGTCATCACTTTTCAATTCTTCTGGAATACTGATATTATTAAATAGCTTTTGTCTTTCTGTTTGGTACCTAAGACATTCCATGAAGAAATGTTCTTCATTTTCAATTTTGATCTGGGAACATTGCTTACAGATTCTGTCTTCTAAAGGTATTTTGGGTTGGGTATGTCTACCCTTCTCAATTTCTAATACATGACTGCTTATTCTGAAACGAGTCAATAAGATTTTATGTTTCAGATTACATAAGAGCAAATATGGTTCAAAAGTGTACGAGTCTTTAAACTTTATATACGTTCTCAGTTTTCTATTCATTTGTTACACTCAACTTCCAGAACTCTACATATATATGCTTGACATGCATCACGGTTAATTTCGGAAGACACCCACCCCGGTTTAAGGTAATTCCTGCCATTAAAATATATTCAGAAATCCTCGAAATCCAGCAAGGGTTCAAATATGAAAATTTGTGCTTACAACTCTTTCTAGGGGATTTGGATTATAACACGATCTAAATCCAACGTTAAGCCTATAAACGTTCCATTGTTTTTAGTGCCAAACCCTTTTAAGTACAACAACAAATATTTCGTTGGTGTTTGTGAGCTCTTGTGTGATTGGTCAATGCATGGACAGCTCTTCCACTTCCGTGTTTTACTCCCTATCAATTTGTATAGTAGTATAGTACTATGATGAAATTGTTTTGCGTATCTGTTGATCGACTTAATTAGTTGATTACCAGTGAACGGCTGTGTTATGTCTGGCATCGTTTAGGCCTATGCGTGGTTCTGGACGGAACTTGGCTCAGTGATTTGGAACTAATTATGAGATAATCGTCGCTATTTGGACTACTATTTCTGACAGTTAGTATTCCTAGTTTATTCATTGTTTATTAGTTACCGCTTTGCAATGCTTTAACGAGAGACGAATCCCTGGTAATCACGTGATCATGCTGTCGACTGCAGCGATTGGCCATCGCTTGGTTACACCGCCACGCCTTAGTTTTTTTGACCTTTTGATATAGAGTTTGTAACCTTAGTAACGGAGACAGTGCAGCGAAGGGTTACCCTCGGCGGACCGTTTGAAAAAAGCAAGTCCATTGGTAGCCTTTCCCTTGTTTTTTGATTTATAACCGTTGATATTTGTGACTTTATAACCAATGTATTTAGACTTTATAATCATTGTACTTAATCAGTGTGTTTTACTCTTTTTGATTTATACCTTTTTATTAGTATTGTATTTAACCCTATGACTATGAGTATATGACGGTATCTTTGATTTATGAACTGTTATGCCAGTAGGCATGGCTCAGTTTGAGTGAAGGGATGTATGATGAAATTGTTTTGCGTATCTGTTGATCGACTTAATTAGTTGATTAGGAGTGAACGGCTGTGTTATGTCTGGCATCGTTTAGGCCTATGCGTGGTTCTGGACGGAAATTGGCTCAGTGATTTGGAACTAATTACGAGATAATCGTCGCTATTCGGACTACTATTTCTGACAGTTAGTATTCCACGGCAAATGTGATATCCCAGAGTTCAATGCGTTTTGTACCATCCAATATACACTTTATCTCCGCACGAGGGCGCAATTTCAAATTGAAAGAAAAACTAGCATACACGCTATTACCATTCTATGACCTCAATTGACCCACCAGCCTCATTCCCAACTTGATACTGGAATTCTCATTTTTTTGATGTATTTAAAGTTTTTTACCCGGATCGTTTTAACCATTTCAATAAATAGTTATAGACTATAATTGATTATGCGAAATTACTGCATTTTTGGTGGTTTTTGGCCTACTCCTCTCACTGTTATGTTAGAA